CACATTGTGTGACTGACAAATATTTGTCATATGACTTTCTATTTTCATAACTATGTGATCGTTCAAGATTTCGAAATCATTCTAAACAAACCTACATTTTCATCTTAGATTTAAATCGAAGCTCAATAGATCTGAATAATTCTCTTAATCTGAGCTATATTTCCGAAAATTAATATAAGGGAGTTGACACAGCCAGACAGAAAAATAAGCAAAAATAACTACATGGTTCGGTAAAATTTGATTGTGTATGATAGTGGAGTCTAGAGCGCGTTTTCTGTCTTGTTTTTCGCTCGTCGTGTTGATATACCTGTATCTTAGTGTTTGATATTCAAGTTAAGACTTGAATCTAGTACCTATAGCTTCAAACACCAACCCATTATCCACTAAGATAATGACAACAATATATAGACAGATAGAAATTTTGTCACTCTGCCTTGCTCAAATACTGGGCAAAAATTGAACGAAATAATCGACAAATAATACGTGATTGATCCAATCAAATATACCCAGCCTGTATTAATAAGTAGGATCTTTTACCTTATAATTACCCACAATTATTAGGATTTTCATCAACCACATGTAGTAAGTAGTTTTATATAAATAAAGAACAGTGATGTAATAAATAGTCACTCAGAACTATGACCAAAATATTCACTTGATCTTTTATCATGACCTAGAATTAAGAGAATTATGAAGAAAAGTTGTTCGTGATATTTACTTATGGTGGCCTAACTTTCATGCATTCATAATATCAATCTAAGCTCAGCAATCTTCACAACCCTTTACTGATAATTATCATGTGCTCACTAGTGATTAACTTCAAGATGGATTTCCTAAAGTTCTAGTGAGAAATCATGACCAGTGAAGTTTATCCATGTCTGTTGTGAGGCAGTTACTCAATGAAGACAATGGAGGACGGTTACGCAATATGGTGAATTAATTGAAGCTAGACATTCACACCGTCTGATTCTGGGTCAGTGGTCCAGAGATTAAGCGTTCGCGAGCGAGACTGAAGGTGTTGGGTTTGAGTTCCATGTGCAGGAACGTAGATGCACACTTCTGAGGATTCCCGTACTAGGATAAAACAGCCGTCTAGTGCTTCCATGTTTTAAATGGTGGTCTAGCATTGATTCATTCATGATATCAATCTAAGCTCAACAATGTCCACAATCCTTAACTGATAAATAAAAATTAACATATTAAGTCAAAGGAAATTATAATACGTCAAAGTATTTGTATCATTGAACTTTGTGCATTAATATGGAGTCAGTGATAATAGAGTATTTTAAATTATCTAAAAGTAAATATCTAAAATATAACCTTTTCTGTTTGTTTGAATATATGGAGATTTGCATCTAGTCAAAAGGTACTTGGGGAGCACGAGTACCGCGAGTGAGGAGAGCTGAGAATGAGAACGACAAAAAAAAAGATTAGCTAACGACCTGTCAAGTACACAGTAATCAACAATAGTAGAAGACTTAACTTAAGACAATCTGGAAATAGAAACTAGAATCAGATAGCATGAAGCTTTTAACTGTCTCACAATAATTTGCGAAATTTTTGAAAAAAGTAATACTATTGTGGTGTGTGCTACTTATGTCGATATAAGTAGCATATAATACCAGTCAGAAATGGAATACATGGAGGCAGAAAGTTAGGAAGATCAGATTGAAGAGAACGGGACCAGACAGTAATTGTTACGGAAATGAAGGAACAATTAAGTTTAAGACAATTGATAGATAATTTATAAATGAAGTATTGAACGTTTTGTTTACACATTTGACTAGAGAACTATGTAATTCTGAGTTGCGATACAATTGGTTGTCCTCACCTACGTTCTCGTTCATTACACTGCAACTTAGAAGAAAGCATTTAGTCTTGAAAACTGTAAAATAAAGAAATATACTGAACTTAAGGGACTTTAAATTCTCAGTTCATATATTAATTACTTCATCGGATTGGAAATTCAGCTAAATATAATGATGTGATTTAGTGAAGAAAAAGATTGATTTAATCAAAAGGAAAACATTAAAAACAAACTATGAATGATGATTATTACTCTGTAGAACTAAATGGAACAGTTGGAAATGCACTTAATCTCATAAACAAGGACTGTAATAGTGTGGTTGCTAGTTCTTATAGGCGTCAAATAGTTTTTGTTGAGTTGTTATATTTCTAACCATAAAGAGTAGCTGAAAATTCCTAATTCCATAATCTGTATAAACTCTTTCAGGTATCGTAAAAAATTTACGTAAACTGAGTGATCTATACCGACAGAATTACAGGTTACCATTCAATAAGATATGATGATCAGTATACGTTTCAACACTTTATGATGTTATCAAGTTCTCTGACACAGATTGCTTAATTGACGAATTTTCATCGTTGTTTTGGACATTATCAGGGTTTACTTCATTTAGAAGATAGCTGTTTATTCATTCCGTAAGTGTTAAATCAGCTCATCATGATGGCTTTTCTTGTGACTGCAACGACACCGGCTGCAAATCATCATTTAAAATTTTTGATATCAGTCAGTTGGAACTGTTGAATTTCTAATAAATACTAAAGTAAAAGACTGACAACTTGCTTTTAGAATATTATGATTCATCATTCTTCAAAATACTGGGCATTACTGTTTGCGAATCTTTCTGGATTACTTATGTGTATATCGTTATCTTGCAATACATTATTTGTTTTACTTTCTTCAGTAAACTAAGGACAACTTTCTCGATTATAGTTTGAAACAATTAACTATCCAATTTACTATCCATATAGCTAGGTTTTTACTAAAGATTTTTCTATAGTCTTTTGCGCAACACCTGACGGCAATGAACATATTTTACTTAAAACAATCCCATATCTTTTCTTCTTAAATTGCGTTTATTCTTGGAATGATGTTAACAAGTCTGAATGCTTTCACTTATTTCCGGCTTTATTTAGCAAACAGTCCACAAAGAAACAAGTAAAGCTCCTTTTAGTTAGGTGGTTTTAAGTGGTTATCCCGAAACCGCTAACATAAGTTTTTCTCTATTTGGTACTCATCAACGAGGTGCACTTGTAATCTTGTGGAGGCTCACTCTCTCTGTATCATACAAATTCACAGTCTGAGACATTACCAATAAACCGTTTGGGTGGCGACGGACGTTGAGCAGAATTAAGATATTTGCAACTGAGTGATCAATACTCAGTGATTGATCAGTTATAAATCTCCTTTTTTAGTTATAGATAATCCTAGACAAAAAAATACTTATTCTTGTCTTTGTTGATTTTTTGTGCAAACTTATCACACTGTAGTTGTTTATTCGAAATAATATTTCGTAGCGTAGAGGGAGGAGCAATCACTTAGCTATTTTCGAATAGTGCTTAGTCAAAAATATTGTTCGTTTACAATTAGCTATTTGTGAACGTCAACTCTAAGAAATATTCGGACTTTTCAACAACCGCTTTATAGACGGTTGAAATGAATTGGTCTTGCTCTTATCGAAATTCGCTGATCAACATAAAAGGCATAACCACTTAATCGTTGAAGTTCGTATTTTACCGGCAGTTCATTGGTTAACAAACACATTAGTGATGCAACGTTTCTAGCCGTTTCTCTTGTGATAATTACTGCCGAATAATATTTTTTCTTATTGCTTACTGCTGTATTTGTAGGGACAAATTAATTACCTGGGCGCTTCGGCCTTATGTGCATTATGGAATAAAAGTAAGGAGTAATCACAGAGTTGGAGTGAAACCCCTGGAAGTTTAACGCTACATAATTCTAGATATTTCTTTAATAAGTCTAAGAATCGATAAAATAACCCGCTATTTAGTAAGATTTTTCAACAAGTAACAGTATTACTAATGTTTTGTTTCATCTTCGTGGACAACTGCTCTGTCAAATTCAATGAGATCGTAAAACTATGGGATGCCATTGAGATAAAACAGAATTACGATTTAACCCCTAAGGATATACCTTCACGAGTCTTCTTCAACATCAAACGAAAAGTTCTTAGCGCTGAAAAAAGCAGTAGTGTTATTATAACAACTCATCCTCTGTTATAATGGCTTTCATTATCCAACTTATCGAATATTTCAGTTGATTCTCAGCAATCGATATCACTCTTAATCTTTGATCGACTTCATCCAATATTCACCATCATAAAGAATACTAAAATCCCTTAAGATAAGGTGAAACATTTTTAAAATAAATTTTACTTTACTATGAAAATTATCTTAAGAATAATCTGATTTGTAAAACTCTGAATTCGCGGGGGGGATGTTTGAACAATGAATATAAGTAATTATAAATCCCTTTTTGTCATTTATACTAAGATTAATATGTTACAGGATAACTTTTATCGAGAAGTATACACGTACTTTCAATAGTTGAAATCATGAGTCAATTGAAGCTAGACCACCATGGAAAACCTGGAAGCACTGGATGGCCGCTTCGTCATATTGTGGGACTCCTCAATAATGCGCATCCACGAAGTATATATGTAATAAAATTTAGAAAAAACATTTAAAAACCCTTGATTTCTTTCACTAGTATCATTTTTTTATGGAAAGAATCCATAAATTATTGTTAGACATTTATTTGGAAAAAATATACTACGGCAAGTCAGAAAATAAGGTTTTTATATACAATGAAAATATACATGGAGTTGGTATCCGGTTCTAGCTGTTTCGGTGCCTCATTAGAATTCAACTTTTAGGTTTGTTGTTAATTAGAAGCACTATTCGATTCATACGAATATCCAAGTAGCATAATTCACGATTTGATGATTAACGAACCAAGTTCCCATGTATACAGTATCTAGGCTTCTCATGTGTACAAATTTAACATGGCTTGATATTCCATTTGATTAATAAATTCTGAATCTGAGAATTCGGGAATTGTTTTCATCTTGCTGAATAAATTCCTTTTGGTTAAGTGGATAAGAGTAGACATCTGATATCTGATTGTTAGTTTAAATAATACAATCTGTGTAATGTCATCCAGGTGAGGTACTATTTTAACTGATTCTTCGATAGAACAAGTAGGCTATAACCAGTACAGGTGTAGCATAGTAAAATAAACGAATAGCTTCACCTTTTGAATTGAATCCAATCTGTAAGAAAAGCAAACAACAGGTCATTATTCATCAACTTTAGCTATCAAGCAGTTTGTTACATAAGAAGTTTAAATATGACTAAATCTATTTGAAATCCAATAAATCTGATCATTTTATAGTTGAATTCCTGAGTCGATTGAAGCCAGACCACCGTGGAAAACCTGGAAGCACTGGACGGCTGTTTCGTCCTAGTATGGAACTCCTCAGCAGTGCATATCCACGACCCCGCCCCGCGAGATTCGAACCAAGGACCTTTGAGTCTCGCTTGCGAACACTTAACCTCTAGACCACTGATTATTGTTTATTCTTTCGTTTTGTTTACTTCTAAAAACTGGAAATAAGACTTTTGATTTTTTAAACATTATAGATTGCTACTGTTTTCCTTCATTTATTTTTCTCCCTAAGTTAAAGTTTTTCTTTTTTGATGATATTAAGCGTGACTTAATACTATAAAGAAAAAAGGAATCATTGTCAAAACTACAAATGATAACTAACTTTAGCTCACTTAGTGAAAAATAGATGGAGTTCTAAGACTAGAATACTAAGTTCTTATTCGTTCTTAAAGGTTATTTGAATCTTCTGGTGATACAAACTGTGAATAATCGTTCTTGTTTAGTATACGTGTATTTTGAACAGATACATAAAGTAGCAATGTTTTTATTTCATAAAAATCAAATTTAATTATGTAACAATTATCGATTAATCACAGATAAGTAAAATTACTAATCATGAGATCAACTATCACTGAATACCAAAGATTATAACTAGTCAATTAACTGAACACTAGCTAAATCATAGAAATTTATATGAGATTCAAAAGAATTTGAACACCCAGAATAGTTTACACTCGACATTATTTTCATTACATGTTTTAGATAGATTTAGAAATAGGAATATAATAAATTGTAAGTGAAGCTTTTTATTAAGTATTGACATAGTCTAGACTACTCTCAGATGTTTTGATGAATAAAATTAAAGTTTAACTATCAGCAGGGTGCATTGTTTCATTACATAAACTTTGAGAGTAACTATTCCGTGGGCAAACAAATCAGTTATTAAAATAATTTCGATTTGACTTTAAGCGTATTTTATCATTACAAGCTACATAATATTAACATTGTATTAAAATTTTATTTTATAGTAAGATTTGATTTTTGGATAAGATTTTTATTCTCATATGTAGAAGTTAGGGGATCATACAAATCCCAGTTACATGCTGAGTAAAAATATAAACTCATATACAGTTTATTTAATTAGTTTACTGAATTCTTAAGTGTCTACATAATGGTAGAAACTATGTTCTGACAGCCTACTGTTAGCTACCATGTTAATTACATATATTTTTAAATGAAAAAATCAACCAGAAATTAAGATTTTTTATTCAGACATAAGATTTCTGACAAACTGATTGTATGAATTTAAAATTGATTTCATTCAATAATCTAATACACAATTCTTATTGTTTCTTGTACCTTGTTGATATTTCATTCACTTTACAATTCATGTGAAAATATGAATTTATTTATGTTTAATTATCAGAATGGGGATTTGTAGAGAGTATAGTAATTTTAGTAGTTGAATTCATGAGTCGATCTAAGCTAGACCACCATTGAAACTCTGAAAGAACTGGTCAGCTATTTCTTTCTAGTATGGGACTTCTCAAAAGTGCACATCCACGGTCCCGAACACAAGACCTTCGGCCTCGCATGTAAACACTTGACCTCTAGACCACCAATCTGGCACCTCAGACAATGGATGAAGGGTTGAGCCATATCATGAATCGATTGAAGTCAGACATTAACACCGTTGGATGCCGGCTCAAAATCAATTATTGTCGTACGTCATCTTCACGAATTTTTTTAGTATTTTGTGTAGACACATTTCTATTGAACTTATGAATCAGTCATTTATCCATTCATCTAGTTGATTTTTTTGTAGTTTTTCATGTACAGATGTTCTTAACAAGTATATATGTGGTCAGATTCTTTGAAATACAGTGTACTAACATCTCACATAGTTCTGATAATCTTCATCTTAATAGATTATTCAAAAATACCAAAATAAGGTTTGTAAGACATGATTGATTTTATGCTAATTCCAGTTAAATGGACATTAGAATGGATAGTGATGATATGAACTAAATGAAGTTGACTGTCATGAATCACTAAAGCATTATTATAACACGTGCAGTTAATTTTGTCACAAACTAACAGAATCACGGAAGTATTAAACAGTTGTTTCGCACTAGTTTGTGAATCTTCAGTAGTCTACATATGTTAGCCTACTTTAGATTGAACCTTTAATTCACATTTTCTCTGGAAGCATGATATCTTTTAGATAATTGAGTCAGAATCTGGTAGTCTATCTTTCTAGTTTTAGTTAATTCGGCAACATTGGACAACGGTCATTTAGTAGTATTACTGACTGAACTCTATAGTTTATGGCTTTTTAAAAACATTTATTGACGTAATTAAGAAGCTATTGACTAGGAAATACAAACTAATCACAAACATAAAGAATTTGTGAAAACAGGTCATCATTGAAACTAGTCTTATTCATAGTGTTATATCTGCTGATGAACCACTGAAAATCTTGGATTGCTGGTTTATAATGGTTCGATCTTCACAATTCAGCCTTCAATAGCAATATTGTATGTGACAAAATGTACTTTCCAAACGGGCCATTTGGCTATATGAATCACTAAACCCCAATACATACAGCTCAGAAAAAATCAGTTATTTTTTAAACAGGGTAGCTAACCTGATGAATTTAGTTCAAAGCTTTGAGAATATTTGTATCTAGTACAGTTAAGTTAAATAAAAATATTGATAACTGACCGTACAGTTTGTGTCAAAGTAAAATAAATATACATTCTAGGCTAAATGGATTACGATAGGTGTATTATTAAAATCAAAGGTGAGCAATGTAATGAAACCATGAAAAATTTTGATAACTATTGGGTAATCGATGGATAAATTGTGAGTTATTTAGCTAAACATTCTACTTTTATTTAGTGGGTTATATTTCCAATCAATATATAGTCAAAATATTAGATTAACTTCCATAATTAGATGAAAAAACATTAACAGTATTATTTATGTAAACCACATCAACTTACTTTACAACTCAGATAATCAGAATGTTGGAATGTCCCAGGTGAATTTGAAAATGTTTTCATCACGGCCAATTCGTTTGAAGAGGATAGACTATCAAGAGGATACGAAAATCTTCCATTAATTTCATCTCCTATATCAGCCAATTCCTTTGCCAAGGCATTAACCAGACTCCATTTACGCTCAAGTTTGTATGATGTGGAAGTTGTACTAATCTTGTGTTCCATTCTCTGTAAATTAAAAGAAAGTTGTTTGGATAAAACTTACTCATGCAAAATTACTTCAATCTTAAAATATTACAAGTTACCGAAAAGAAAGACTGTTTAAATGTGTTTATCCAAAGGAAAGTTTTATCGGAATATATATTTTTTTGTAAAAGCAGCCAAAAATACGCAAAAAATTCTGGTGAAGTGGTCTTATGGATTTATCATACCTATCACCATAGTTAAAACATGAGTGCTGGGAAATGTATAGATACAGAGTTAAGTAAAGGAGTTTCATATAGCCCTAGTGTGTTTTACATTTGATCCATCAATAAAATAATTAGGACAAACCATTATTTTGTTAGTAATATAAGATTAACAGATGGTCAACCGAGAGATAAAAGTTAGTTTTATCCAAAACATTTGAGTAAAACAGATCAGACAAATTTGTTAACCCAGTAATTTTATTGGATCTAGTTCGTCAGAGGAAGAATTGAGTGCAATGTTATTGTCAATTTGTCAAACTTTATTGAGTGTGACATACAATGTTTGGAGTATTATTTCAGAGTTCACTTCTTAGTTAGTGGGAGTAAACCTAATTAAAAACATCACCACCACTTAGTTGTAGAAGAGACGTTGTTAGTCAAGAAATTCTATTGTTACTAATAGTGTTCGAAACCTGACAGACTCAATAACCTATATGTTGGTATCCCAGTATAACTTATATAAAAACGACTGTGTCCTATCATTTATAATAAGCAATTAAAACATTATATACTAAAAAAGCATAAAATGAATGTGTTATACTTTAATTTACAAAGTTTCATGATGCTCATTAATCATAGCTGGAAGCGATGAATGTAAAAACAGTAGTCCATTGTCATAGTCTCTGTACATTTTTATTCATCCATTTCTAAATTATTCCAGTTGTCAATTGCGTATTATTAAAACAGTCTACATCACAAGATCCAAACTTATTAAATTCCAAACATTTATTCATATATTCAACCACTAATATTCATTTTAAAGTGACTAAATGAACAAATGACCAGTATATTAAATTTTTCCTTCACCTAATCTCCCTTCAGTAATACGATCTTAAAAGATCAGGGATGAAAATTTTTCAGTCTTTCTATTGATTAGTCAGACAAAAACCTCATTTTATTGGTCAAAAATGATCCAAGGTCAAATGGTACAGGCTATGACAGTGTATATGGATCAAGAGTCAAATAAGGTCAATTTTCAGCCTAACCTAGCAATGGGATACCATGATCTAAAATGAACAGTCATAAAAATGAGAAACATTGTCTATGTCTAATTGGTGAAAATAACAACGAAAATAACACCAAATATTTGGTAAATGCAGTCATTAAAACTTATTAAATGACTGGACAGTTAATCGATTTACCCGCCCAATATATATATATATATATATATATATATATATATATGTATATATTTATAATATTTTTGATCTGTTCATATAATGTTAAATAATTGATCAATAAACTAATATGTTGTCATGGTATCGGTCCAATTTAACACAAACAAAAATGTCAGCAAAATAGTTAGTAACCTTGAATTTATAAAAATCGATTGAAATAGTTAAGTAAATATAATAAAAAAAATAGTCGCTAGACTACTTGTTCTCCCAAAATCTGATGTAATTCAATTATAATCAGAGAGGGGTCTTGTGGATATTATAGTAATTTAATAGTTGAATTCATGAGTCAATTGAAGCTAGACCACCATGGAAAACTTGGAAGCACTGGACGACTGTTTCGTTTTAATATGGAACTCTTCAGTAATTAGCTATAGAATCTTACAAAATATGGATCGATTTTTATTTCTCTTTCTTCAAACATGTGTTATCAGAGTAGATAATTTTTCGAATGTTGAGTTAAACATTGTGTTAAATTTGTTTGTTTGTATCAAAGATTTATGGATTTGAAGTAATGTATGTGGTAATTAGGTATATTTATTTATTTCGTATCCCATTACTTAGTCTGGTTTTCTGGAATGAAATATTGTCTTTTAACCATTCGTAGTGGTAAGTTTGATTGATTGCTAAACTCTGCGGAATCTAATTTTGTCATTACTGTCGAAACTGTCTTTTTACGAAGAAAACTTAAATTTTTGAATAATTATCAGGGTTAGAATCCAAGACATGATATTCATGCTATTAAGGATTAGCCGAGAAGTTGTTCAAGCAGAGACCTATAACTATATCCAAGACGAGGCATCCATTCGGAGATCCAATACACTAAATGTTATCTATTAAATCCTAACCTCATTGAAAATTTTTACGAATGACAACAATGTTAATGCTATCCGTTTTATTGAGATCATACGAAATTCATTTGACATTATACATAACGTCATATAATTAGATATCTGGGAGTTTTTTTGACGAAGCGCATAAGTGACACAAAGTTTAAAACTATTGATTCTACTGTTTGAATAATCAAGCAAACTGAATCTACATCTTATAAACAATGATCTCTTAGATCGATAAACAATGTAGTACTTACTAAGGTATCGATGTGTAACTGTAAGATATCCATATTAGAGTTACTGTTTAGTTAAAAGATTATTATTTATTAATTATTAAATACAAATAGCTCAGTAATTATTTATTTTCAATAGAAACCTTTATTTCTACATTGAATACTATAAAGGAGCCGAATTTCATTCAGAATTAACAGTTTAACTTATCACTTAAAATAACATATATTTTAATAGAATTATACAACTTACGTGATTTTTTAGCAGAATTTATCTATAATATATTACAAGAATTAAACTGATGCCTTTTATATGAAATTATTTGTTGCCTCCTTTTATTAAGATGCTTCTGTCTATAAAACTAAAATGAGTAGATGTAAACCTAACGGTATGTTGGTTTAAATCAACAAATAAGGTTACAAGGTGGTGAACAACAAAAAAATATTCTATTAACCGACTGTATGTTGTTAATAGTTATTAGTAATGTCTGAAATTTGTAAATCAGGGTGAAAAAAATTTTTCGGAACATAATTATATGAATAATATGTGGCAATAAACTAGATAACAAATTCTCATCAAAATGAATGAGTTAGGATAGAGACTTACTTACAAACTTAATCAGTAAATGTTTTGATTGGTTAGTTATAAACTTGCGATTTTTACACAATTGGGTTAGAAGGTCAATAAAATTTGCGGCTTCTGTTAAATTTTTCATTTACAGTAAGGGGTGATATAAATGAGGTAGAGGATTTAACTATCTGAGTCTTTTTATTATGAAATGTTGGTTTATGTCAAATTTTGTTTGTTTTGTGTACCCTTCGTTCTTCCCCTTCTGTAACATCTCATAGTAATAATAATAATAATAATAGTTTGGTGCATCCATTCAGAAAGTAGAACTGTCCATTTAACACAACGTTATCATGATTGTATTTCTAGGGGGCAATTTTCTTTTTGTAGAAAGACCGTATACTGTTGAAATTTTAAAAAGTAAACAAACTTCATAGTACCATTTACTCAGTTTATAATTTCTAGATTTCCTGTTATCGAAGGTAAATTATTGCAACAATACTATTTGCATAAATCTTAAATTACATACAGATTTTCCCTGCACTTAGTTAGGATGTGTACAGGTTTTTGTAATGTATTTGTCCAAATATTGTCAGAATGTATTTAATATTTCTGCAGGACTATGTAATTGCATTGAATTATGCAAATGGATTAGTTAATAATAGTATTTTATATGACAATTTAATTTTAGTGGTGTTGAATTCCCCAAGCTAGAGGATTTAAATGAGGAGCATTCATTGCTATTCTGATTAACATCTTCAGAGTCTGTTTCATTCAAAGGAGAGCAGTCCAGTTATTCCGATGGTTATTTTAACTAGTAGTATAGGGATCTGAGTATGCTACAGTAGGATTGTGATACATATAGATTGTGAAAATAGAGAAAATGTAAATAAATATAATTTCTATCTTCAAAAATTGGTTTATATAATATTTATTTTAAGCCTATTTTCATACGAACACATTCATTGTTTTGTTAATTTCAGGTCTTTGTATTGTTTTGACTACTCACAGTCTCAAGAGATTGACATTTATTTGATATTCCATGTAGTTATGCTTTTGTAAATAATCGTTTTCGTGATGTAGCACTTATAAATAATCTTTTTGCTCCTAACTGTGAAATTATAATCCACCTAAAGTAATGAGTATTTTCTTTAATTATCCTATATGAGAATGTGACGTATATAAACAATTTTACAATATGTAGTACACATTAGTTTTAAACTATAAAGTTTACGATCATTTTATTGATAATTGCGGACATGAACTGTAAATTGAAGATCCAGGAAACAGGCTGAAGTAGTCGAGCTTTAAAAATACAGAAAGTTATTTTGTAAATATTCAGAATATTTGTTTTCTTCGAAGAGTACTGAAACCCGTGTCATTTATAAATCATTTTATTTCTATCAGATGGGCTTTGTGGATATTAATCAACATATGCTCACTAGTAATTGGCTTCAATAAGTATTTACTGGAGTTCTAATGAGAAGCGGTGACCAATGGAGTTCAATCGGGTTTGTTGTGAGATAGTAACTCACTGATGACAATGGTGGATGTATCGCTCAATTTCGTGTATTAGTTGAAGTTAGACATTAACACCGTTGGATGCCAGCTCAGCGGTCTAGTTGCTAAGTGCTCGAGCGCGAAACCAATAGGTCTTGGGTTCGAATCTCTCAGGGGGCGATGTTGTGGGTTCACACTGTTGAGTCCCACAAGAGGACGAAAGGGCAGTCCAGAGATTCCAGGTTTTCCATGGTGGTCTAGCTTCAACTGACTCATGATCTTAACCATTTTATTTCTCTATAAAAAGTACAAAGGTTCGTTATTTTTTTCTCTGTTTGCAAACTCTTCTCAACGAACTTAAAATATTATCAAGGTCGCCTTTGAAATATATACAATGAGTACACATTGACTACATAAAACCATAAACTTTAGTTCTCATTTAGTGATAATTAACACCTGGAAATTATTAAAATATCGAGAGAGAGAGAGAGAGAGAAACACAGACTTGTTAATGTTATTATCACCTTTATAGCATTAAAGTTCAGTTTTATCATTTATGAGAATTATATATTATCTTTGTCGAATTGTGTGACTGATTAACTAACCATCATTACACAAAGGTCTAGACAAATGAAGTTTTCAAATGGCCCGCATCAGTTTTTCTAAAGAAAAACAATTTAGATGTATTTATTTTACAAATAAATAAATAGTTGAATGAATTAAATAAAGAGTTGCTAAAAGTAACATTTATATATACTACTTATTATTTTGTTATTATGTCATTATTCAATGGACTTTATTATTTCGAAAAGAAATCGCTATTTATTAAAAGTTATTTAATTGAACATCTTTAAATAAACATTTGAAATTATACGCTTCAATTAATGTACTCTAACAAATTAATGTTAAATTTTATTGAAATTTTGGTTACTGAGACGGTTACATGTTATTTCAGTATTAAAAACTAGAATGGATATTAATTTCCATACATAATAATTAACTTAGTTGTTATGTGAAAAAATGATGTAATAAACAATTTTAATTAGATTGTCTGAAATAAATTTTAGTATTGAATTCACTAACTGGGAAGAAGTTAATAAATTAAATTTAAAAGAAATATTAATCGATGGTTTTGAATTGAGTACTTCCAGCCTCTAAAAGTTAGATATAGTGCACAACAATACTTAGTTCTAAGACTAGTGGTCGCCTTACAACTTACTTGATATAAATCACTCAACACTGAGAAACAGACATG